CGCCTCCGTCTCAATATACTGTACAACACAACATACATTCACATCAAATGTTAAAGTGCCCCTATTATGGATTTTTGATTTTTGATTATTGATTCTGATTTTTATATACCTATTTAAACTTTGTGTAGCCTAAGTAATTTGTTATTTTATTAGGCATAGGCCTATATGGTGTATTTTTATTCGTTTTGTTAATAAAAGTTCTGAGTTTGACGTTGTTGTTACTTGAACTGAATCAGTGCCGAATTGCCCCTAATTTGAAAGTGAAAGTAAAACGCGCACAGCCATTTGAAAGCTATTTGAAAGCGAAGAAAAGAGGGAAACTCAAATGAACTAACAACCCCCCCCCCACCCCAACGGTGATACCGGTATTGTTGTCACTCGTCGCTTAACCGGTGGGAAAATTTCCTCACCGTCACAACCCTATATGGAACATGATCTTTACTTAATATTCTAATGACTCTGAATCATTGAAACGAGTCGTTTTTAAAACGAATCCCAAGCCGTTTCATGTTGACCTCAACATGAAACATTAGCATATTGCCTGCCCACTTGTTGTGCGCGCAGACCTGGGAAAACTTGATTTTCGCGTTGGTCTGAATGAAAATGCAAATTCATTCTTTTCCACTAGGTGCTGCTTTTGGAGCGGTAAAAATAGCGGTTTCCCCGGCAACGCTGTACACAAAGCAGCACTGCGCTCACAAACACTGCTTTATCAGGCATTACAGGCATGATTAAATGAAAATGAGACCAATAAAAATTTTCCGCCATTTTGAATTTTGTCAGAAACCTACTTTTGCGAACTAGTCCTAGGTTTTTCACCCGATCGGAACCAAACCAGTGCAGAAATGTTCTTTGGACAGTAAATATCAAAAATTATCAAAAAAAAGTTGAAATTTCAAACGAACGTCGCTTAGGGACGCAAAAACGTCTGTTAGGGACGGGGCCATTTTTACTAAAATGGCTATAACTCCTGAACGGACTGAGATATCTTCACCAAACTTGGTACACATGTGTGCAAGCTCAATCTTTGGTCAAATAAAAAAAAAATCGGAGTTCTGCCACTTGGTGGCGCTATAAGACGAAAAAAACTTAAAAATGACTATAACTATGCAACCGTTGGTCCGATCGACTTGAAAATTGGTATGCAGTGTCTTCGTCCAAAGGGGCAAACGTGTTTATGAGGACATTCGCGTATCTCAAAAAACATGGCTGCCATTGGAGAAATAAGTTTAGGCACCTATTGCAGTGTCCAGAGCGGAAGCCAATTTTCAGTTTTTGATTAAAGATTACGACAGCAGACAATTGTTTTTTTGTATTGACTTGCACGGTTCAATTGTTCACCACAAGACTAGTAATGTGCACTAAAAAAGGAAGTAGGGTCATTTTTGTTTTCAGGACGACGAATCATTTTTACAATACCATTGGCAAAACTACCACATACTGTATACTGCCATACAGATATTTAAATTTTTTTTTTTTTTTCAAGCTTTGAAATTGGTTTAATCCAATCCACATTCGCTTTTTATGATGAACAGATTTTAATATAGGCTTTTATTTACATACATATAAATATTGATCAATTACCATTACAAAAATCTCAATCTTAAACATTTGCTCATTCTGTGTATTTGTGTCTTTAAAATTTTTTTGTATTGACTTGCACGGTTCAATTGTTCACCACAAGACTAGTAATGTGCACTAAAAAAGGAAGTAGGGTCATTTTTGTTTTCAGGACGACGAATCATTTTTACAATACCATTGGCAAAACTACCACATACTGTATACTGCCATACAGATATTTTAATTTTTAATTTTTTTTTCAAGCTTTGAAATTGGTTTAATCCAATGCACATTCGCTTTATATGATGAACAGATTTTAATATAGGCTTTTATTTACATACATATAAATATTGATCAATTACCATTACAAAAATCTCAATCTTAAACATTTGCTCATTCTGTGTATTTGTGTCTTTAAAATAGGGTAACTTTGTTGCAAAAGCTTACAGCAGGAAAAAAAATCAGTTGTTAAATTTCAAATATTCAAGTTAAAAAAAATTAAATTCAAAACTATGTTAAATGCCACATAATGTTCAGTTTTGTTAAATGACACTTGTCAATAATTCAAATGTACACAATTCAAATAGTTTTGTCATATTTTAAGCTCCATATATTTCCAGCACTTTAAAGCTTTAAAAATTATCCACTTTAAATGTTATTTTTAATGAGATTACCCAAATATACTTTTGTAAATATATACTTATGTAAAAAAATTAATTAATTAAAAAGTAAATAAATAAAATTACCACTATAACCAGTAGATGGCAGCAGATGAGCACTTATTGGCTTATTAGTCATTAATTTCTACTTTTTGATTTATATTTTGAAATTATAAAATTGTAAAATCAAATCATCAAGAAATCACATTTTTGGCACTTTTTTGTGTGTGAAGTAAGAAAGTGCCTTGAAAAACAAACTTTTTTGATGCCCTGTGTCCCGAGAGACAAGACAAAAACAATAAAACCCATTATAAACGAGGTGCAGTATAATGACCTATACTGTCTTTTTACGCGTTGCGTTGCGTATCCCGCTGCGTAAACATAAAATCATGTCTGGAGAAACGACAAACAACAAGTGCTACTCTACACTGCTCAAAACTCGCGTTTGAATCGTCAGTGGCAAATTCTTTAAATATAAAAAACAAACTTACAGTCTGTGAGTCAGAACAGCCGGCATTGTAGTCTACTCTACCAGGATCAGGAAACAGTCCTCCATAAAATGTGCTGCACACATCTAAATATTTGGGTTAAACTGTTCTGGAACAGTGTTGTAAATACAACTTAACCACTGATTTCTAGTTGTGTCCTCTTTTGGAAGGCTAAACAAAGTAGTTTCGCTTTCACAACGAAACAGCGTCACACACGGCGGCCTTAAGTGAGCGGAGGCCGGAGGCCTAGAGTGAGCCACGGCCTAGAGTGAGTGGAGGCCAGCTTGAGTAAGCAGAGGCGGGCGGGCTTGAGAACGATTTGAGACTTTAGTCTTTGCAACTTTACAGATCTTCTTTATGCACCAAGAGCTTGTAACACTCCAAAGAGAAAGGAAAAATTGAAATCGCATCATATGACCCCTTTCAATCTGCAACTGAATCACACATAAAGAGTGTTCCTTTTATAATCACTGAAGTTATCAGTCAGTTCCATATAATACTAAAGAAGAATAATGGTACATTTAATAAGAGTAGAATACATTATTTTTTATATAAAAAATTATATTTTGTAAGTTACTGTTGTTAATAAAAGTAAATTTTGTTTGCTTCCCAACTCAAGCTCAATGTTTTACTGTCAAATGTGTATTACCAAGAAATAAACGTGTAATATTATTAGAAATTGCACTTATTAATGCAAAACAATAGTAATTTTATTAATAAATTATCTTTATTTTTAATACCTGTATCTGTAATGTGTATCTTTGTTCTTATTTTTTAATAACAAAGATAAAATAATGACAAAGATTATTATCTTTGCCCACTTTGGCCTAAATGTCTGCCATTCTTTTTTAATTTATATTTTGTTACCTTGTTAGGCTTTGTTTTTAAATGGGGCATGAACTGGCTTTTTTTTTATACTGTTGTCTGAGGTCCACTTAAGACATTCACGTGGTTTTTACATTCAAAAACATAAAAATCAAAAAGTAATAGGCTATTTTCTACCCTGGTTTTGAGGCCGGCTCGAGAAACGCTCGGTGTTTATGGGATGCCGCATTGAAGACTTGGAAGTAAACGCCCACTGCTATGATTGGATAACAGTTTTGCATAATAAACTAACTACAAGCTAACTTCATAGTTGGAACCTTCTGTGACTTTGGTTAGACACATACACATAATCAGGACATATCAAGCGATCTCTAACAAAGCAATAGTGACACATGGTACAACTATTTTTTACTCACATAAGTGTGCCCCATTCCTGTCGGATCCAATTTAAACGGTACAGAATTGCTTTTTAATCTCTGTCTCTCTGCAAATCTAGCATCGACCTGTGTCTTGTTTACAAAGGAATCCGCGATGAAATGAAGCGAATAAACGCTCAATGTTTTACTCACGTGAGCTGAAATTTCATTTTTAAAAAAAGTTCAATCATGCATTCCTAATATTTGAATCCGAAGGAAGGTTATGCAGCGACTGTGTTCTTCCACAACCAGGCACTGCACAATATTTTGCGATCTTCAACGGCATGTTCATTGCTTGGCTGCTCGATCTGGTTTAGCGCCACTCATGTTATTTCCCTACTATGCCATGCGCGAATCAGTGGGTGGGGCTACAGAATTAGGCATTGATATTCTTCTGTGGAGGCAGTGTTTAACCTATAGATAGGCACATTCCAGGATCTGGCGTTCACTGGGCCTGGTGTCAATAAAAGCTTTTATTTCAGTAACAAGGACATTTTCAGCTCTGAAACTTACAGGATATTCTTTTAGTACGATGGCCTCTTATATATCAAAAGCTCAAGTAAAAGTTGATTTCTCAATTCATGACTCCTTTAAAATAGGGAAATTAGTTTGGCTGTACTTCTCAGACAACTTGCAAAATAGTAAACCCAACATGACAAAGAATCATGATAAAGTCGTGAATTGTGATTGTCCTGTAAAAAAAATCCTGATATGATATTTTTGCCATATCGCCCACCCCTACTTTTCAATACTTTTCTGATGTTCATTAATGTTTATTTTTGCTATAACTAGTAGCAAAGAGGAACAGATCGGTTTATGTGCCGCTTGAACTGAGGTGCAACAGCGAACGACACATTACAGTGTCAAAGCCACTATTTATTTATTGACTATTTAATTTGTGATGAAATTAACAGAATTTGAAAGCTTTATTTCTGATTAAAAGTAACAAAGCACAAAACTTACGATTATTGAATGGCAGGTATGCTACAAATAATGAATGGACTTAAAGACGTTAAATATTTCCAAGCATTTATACTGTCCTTTCAAGCAAGATGACAAATGGTACAGTTTCTTTTAATGATCCCAGATCATGTGTAATATTTTACTGCATAATTACATATAGAAATATATTTTGAGTTAGGTCAATTACTGTCGGCAGTGTGGTGCAGCCTACACCAAGCTTTGCAACTGATATCGCTTATCCTGCCCGAAAAGACCATACGCATTACAGTTCACTTCTGTAGTAATAATTAATTCACAGACATGAATCCTAAAAACTAATAATGTCTGAGCAAATCGTGACTTTTCACTTAACACCTACCTAGGCGTAAGATTTAGTCTCAGATGTAGCACTACGCCTAGATGGTGCAGCAGGTGTTAATTCTACGCACTACTTAAAGCGCATTTTATGTCCAGCCTAGTCTTACAACCGGGTGTACGTCCAGCTGGTGCAACCGGCCCCAGGACCTTATGCTCTAAACTAGGCCCCATGGGCTGCTGCATTGGGAGGTCCTTAGGCCCATGAGAGAAGGATCAACAATCTATGTGGGTTCTATTCCAACAGGGTCCCAAAGTCTATGGGATTCAGGCTCAATCAGCATCCCTTGCTGCAGGCGATGGGGAGGCCTGGCTGGGTGTGAAGAGATGGAAAAGACAGATGGGTGTGGTTCCCTCTGAGGCAGACAGAGAAAGGAGTTATGCATGCACTGTGATCCCCCATTAGCCTTTGGTCCCAGAGAATACAGTGAATCTTGGTTGACAGTCTCTTTCTTTTTCTTTCTTTCTCAATCATGGAGTGCATTTATTTGTACAATAAAACACTAACATCCGCTTTTGGGTGTGCCGGTCTGGTTTTCCTTTGGACATTTTATGACCTTTCCCTAATTAAAAAAAAAAAAACATTAAGGCATTCACAAGAACTTACATGTAGGCTTATTAGGCTCTAATTCTTCATGATGATTGTATGTTAGGTCTCAGAATCTGGTTATGAGTAAGACACGTTTGACCTGGCAGAACAGAATTGCGAATTAATTTTGCTATTTTAAAAACACTGAAGCAGCAATAAAGACCTGCCTTTGAGAAATAAAGTAATCAGTTTTCCGTGGCACAAGGCTTTATTTTCTGTCTTGCTGTTTCCTGAGTTTAAATTTGTTTTGTGTTAAGTCAATTGATAGACCTTTATCTCCATAATATTTATGGATAATATGTATGTATACTTTCGGAAACACTCAAATGTTTTTTTTTTTTTTCATCTCTTCAGTTCCAGATTGTAGCATTGACACGCTCTCCACCAATGCCAGCCAGGAGCTGCGAGGCCTGGGCATTCCCAAGGTGTCAGGCCTAGAGCGCAGTCAAGAGAAGAGCGAGGAGACATCCCGTGAACTCTCCTCGGCCACCCCCTCACTGGTGCCCACTTCCCATCCCAAACCTCCCCTCCCCGCCCCTCTTCACATCCAGCCACCCCGCTCTAACCGGGGGATACCCTTGCCCCTAAGCCCAGTCCAAACCCAGCACCCTATCCCAGACCGTCCACTTAGACCGCTGTCGCCCCCTACCACCCTTCCTCAAACCCAGGGCCAACAGCCCTCTCAGGCACCCCCAGCCCAGCCTCAGCACCCACCTGAGCCTCCACCTCACCCAAGGCCACCTCGAACTCCAGGCATCTATAATCACCCCCCATCACCAGCGCTACCGTCCCAGCAAAACCCCACCCAACCTGTGCAGCACAGACCGCCCTCTCGTTGCCATCCGCGCCCAATCTCGGCCTACAGCAGCAGCCTTACCCTCAACGGCCTGAGGTGAGTGGATAGCAAATGGGTGTAATGGAGTTAAATATAAAAGCGCAGCTTAGCAGGAAGTGTCTGTTACACTCCAGATGTGTTATACACACTGACTGAGCAGCTGTTCTGAGACCCAGCTCTTAAATACTGTAGCGGAACAGCGTGATTTCTGTATTACAATGTATCAATCCTCCAGTAAGCATGTGCCACAAATCCCTGTTTGTGCATGTTTGTGTGTTGAGTGTGTGTGTGCCTGACAGCACCGCAGAGAGAACCCCAGCTGAGAGATTAGACGGTTTGATTAATTCCCCTCCCACGTCAATGCTGCTGCTGCCTTGTAGCTGGCGGCGGCTTGTAGATAACATTTCCTCTGCTCAACTCAAACACCCCAATATCCCGCAGAGAAGCAGATCTTCCCCTCCCTCCTTTCGCCCTTCTCCGCCGTCCTTTAGATTTGTTGTGTAGTCCACCCTGCGCAGTATCTTGCCATTGGACTGCTGATGATAATTATGCTTTGTATTATTCTGTATGTGTGCAGCTTTTAATATAAATATAATTAGCATTTAAATGATTACTTAGCCTGCAAATTAGCTCTTTGTTAGATTGCGTACAACTCTGATAAATACTTTAGCGTGCGGCTGGGAAATCCCTCCAGGAATAACACATTCTTCAGCACTGTATCCACACTTTCCAGGTTTCTGAAACTGGATCCTTTTGCTAAATTTATAGCAGACACTCTTAAAGCAATTTAGTGAACAAAGGAGTTTTATGAGTATAGGTTGGAAAAGGAGTTCTCTTTTATACAGGCACGTTTTTACAATCGTTTATTCTCTCTTTTTTCACAGCAGCAGTCGAAGCAGCACTCCAGGGAAGCTCCCGGGCCCCTCTCCAGCCCCTCACCTGCACCATCACCAACCTGCCCCCACTGGGGCAGCAGCCTCCTTCCCCCTGCCCCTGCCGGCAAACCCCACGGCTTCGCAAACCTTCCCCCCCTCCCTGCCGCCCTCCACTCTTCCTCATCACACCAATATGTTTGCATCGCCTGCTGCTCTGCCTCCACCTCCTCCTCTCACCTCAAACACTCTGCCGGTCCCCGGACACCCAGCTGGGAGTGCCTACTCAGGTACCAATCTTTCATCTAGCGTCCTTGAATGCATAACATAAATAAGATCAGATATTATTGCCAGCTGTTGAATCAGGTAATTATCACCAATACCAATATGGTTCTCTATGCATTTAGATAAACACTTCTGAAAAGGGGCAGTACCTATTCATATATGTTTTTAAAACTTCTCCTTTATTTTCCTCTCACTCCCTTTTCCTTCTCCCAGAACAAGACTTTCTCCGGCAGGAATTAAACACTCGTTTCCTGGCATCTCAGAGTGCTGATCGCGGGGCATCACTGGGTCCTCCTCCATACCTGCGGACTGAGTTCCACCAGCACCAGCATCAGCACCAGCACCAGCACACACACCAACACACACACCAGCACACCTTCACCCCTTTCCCCCACTCCATCATGCCCACGCCTGCACCACCCATGGTGCGTACCCCAGCCAGAAATGTGAGGATAAGTGGAACACAACTAAAAAAAAAATAATAATAATAAACCTTGTGGTGATGGAGGCTTCTGGTGTCATTTGCTTCTAGATATTTTACCTGTACAAGAAACCGGTATTATGCTGCTTGATATTGCAAACTGGTTTTGTGATAATATTATTTTAATTCATTATTATATTAAATACACTGGTTTATAGCGCAAAGAGTTTTACCGTTTACTGCTTTTATTATTCTTCAAGTTATTACCTATAGAAGCTAATGAGTCAGAAGTCTCGCACATTCAAAGAAAATAGCTTATTTCTGCATTGCAAAATAAGGTGGAGATGCTTGAGTGATTAAAAGGATGACTGAATGTATGAAATAGATGTATACACATTAATGCATGCATATAAGATACAGGGTTCCCACGGTCATGGACATTTCTATAATGTGTCTATTTAATGAATTATACAGGCCAGTTCACAAATGATGATTTATTAGCGAGTCTGTAAAAATCAAATCCATCAACATGATTTGTAAAAATCCCTAGTGAGTCATCAGAGATGACTGGAAAAAATCAATGGTCAAAAACTGTGGGAACACTGTAGGTAACTACTAAATTTGTGCATGTGCGTATTGCAACGACTGCTTAATTATAAACTTGTGCAGTACAGTATGCTGATTCAGTAAACACTGGAAGTCAGGGCAGTGGCTCGCTCTCTCAGTTGTAACCATGTGTTTCTCTCTTGCCACAATGTGGCTTTTCTTTGTTGAAAAACTGCTTTTTCTCTGGCATGCTTCTCCACTCTGTTCTCTGCCCTGAATTTAGAATTGGCAGTCAGAGCTACTGGGGATACGTTTTTGTTCCAGCCAAGCCTTGAGAGCTTAATACTAGTTTATTCATTCCCAGTTTAATGACATCATTTTGGTCTGATGGAGTTTTGACTGAGGGCTTTTGGTTGGCAGGCAGCAGTGCCGATTAGTGAGTTGCTTCATACAGACGCTCCCACACACAGCTCGACAACGGTAACCACACTGCCCACAGAAGCTTAAAAGCGGCTTTTAAACCATTCCAGATTCAAAGACCTCTGAGAATGGCGCTCTGTTAGCTAATGTGCAACACAGTTTAAAAACTAATTTGAGAGCCACATTGTTTACTCGTGATTGGGAAACATTCTGTCTGGATCCAGATTAGACCACTCAAACCCTGTTAAATGAGCTGTTTAAAATACTATTTTTAGACGACCCGAATGGCTTCTATTTGACCACTCACCGAATTGCTGAGTAATACAGATTAACAAGAGAAAGACCTTGCCATAATTCACTGTAAATTGCAAAACGACAGCCTGGATGGGGCCAGCAGAAATAATTCAGCTATTTTCTGTGCTAACATTCATTAATCGGGGCAGAGACCATTTTACTGCCAACCAAACACTTTTCTGGAGAGCACATTAAAGCATTTGGTATTTGCTTTGAGCCTCATGACTCCACAAGATATTTATCCTAAGTTGTTTGTAGGCATGAAGGACTCCTGTGTGTACTGAGCACTGTTTCTCCTTTCCTCCACAGTTCGACAAATACCCCACTAAAGTCGACCCCTTCTACAGACACAGCGTGAGTCCCTGTCATGTTTTTGGCAATTGCTGTGGTGGCTTTTTTCTTCTTCCTTAGTGTAGTGATTGTTGTCATTTTAAATTTTTGCTCCCATAATCTAATTTCATGATGTTTGGCATTATGGGTGTTTTAAGCAATAGGGGCCATGCTGGTCACAGCTTTTTTAGGATCCAGCTGTAATTATATCTTAAGTGCCTTAATATTTTTATAAAAACCATTACCATTACTACATTAACCATTACTAAATTAAGCACAACTTTTTTTAAAACATTATTTTATTAAGTAAATTGGCTGCAAGATATTTTTTATTGAAATGCCTCGCTGGTGACTGTGGGGATCTTGATAAGAGATAAAATGTTTCATTCTACCTGCCTGTCCAACAGGTTAATGCAACTTTAATTTATTTGATCTCTGCCCTTCGATTATGGAGTCGCCATTTAGCAATGATTCATTTGTGACACCCACCCATGAACACACACTGCAGTAATTACATGTATTATGCAGTGCGCTGTGATAATAACAGTCATTGCTATCAGAGTTGGTTTAGAGGGTGACCCATATTGTAAATTCATCTCACCGTTAATCTTTGTTGAATGTCACAACAGCCGCAGGTCAGATGAAGGTTGTATCATTATATTCAGCAGAATAGATGATTTGTAGTCTCATTCTTTCTTTTATTCATTCATAGAGAGAAAAACTAAGCATAAATTGTTGTGAATTATTTTCACATGGTGTGTATTTTCATATTATGCAGCATGTAATGAAGAGGGTCATTTAAATGTCAGCAGCTGATGTTTTGTAGTTGTTAGTTTGTACAGGTCTCACTGTAGAACTGTAAACAGCTGACAAGATCAAACAAGAACCTCAGGAGTGACTGTGTCTTGTATCCTTTTTCTTTCCTCAGCTGTTCCACTCTTACCCCCCAGCAGTGTCTGGCATTCCGCCTGTCATCCCGCCAACGGGGCCCTTCGGATCTCTGCAGGGAGCGTTCCAGCCCAAGGTATCACAATATCAAATGCTGTATGTTGGAATGTCATGACTACTCCCAAAACTAACCTCCTGTGCTGTTCCAAATGTACTCCTGCACACATGGAACGGATCTAGCTAAATATAAACAAATCTCAGAGTCTGTTTCTTCTTTAATGGTATGTATAGGTACAGTATAAATAGAGAATCAATTTCAGATGTTTTCTCGGGATGTTCAGTCTGGTGATGTACCCCAGTTAGCTATCGGTAATGCTAGAGTAAGTGAGAGATGATACTGGATGGTTTAGCTATCATGTGATTGGCTGAAAATACTTAAGTTTTGTCTTTGTGTACTACAGACCTCAAACCCTCTAGATGTGGCAGCCAGGCCTGGAGCCGTCCCACACACACTCCTTCAGAAAGACCCTCGGGTACGGACCCCAAACATGCTCTTTGCAACAAACAAACCTGTGGTATTTTTAAACTAGTACTGAATGACACTATGGGCAAACTAAGTGTTACGTTTGTCTGTCACGTTATACTGTTGTCCACATTGGTATGCAGGCAGTGATAGGAAGGGGAATACTCTGAATTCTGGCCTAATTATTCCACGAAATGCTTCATTAGAAAGGGAAATTTTAACATTTTAATTTGGTCAGTGATGAAGTGATGCTCGGATGCTAATTAAAAGTCCTGATTGACAGCTTTGTGTCCCTAATCTCTCTCACTCTTGCTCTCTTTTTCCCTCTCCTCTCTAGCTGACAGATCCGTTCCGGCCGGTTCTCAGGGTAAGACTGCATTATCAGTTATTCAGTTTGTTTCCCCGCAGGAAATAAAGTAAAAGCTCATTACAGTTTAATCCCACCTTACACCGAGCACCTGCCTTCTGCTCCGCAGTCTTTTTAATTAGCAGTGCGCTGGGACTCGACGGTCTCATCTCAGAGTCTATACGAGACTCTATATGACTCCCTTATCACTGAAAACACTTTGTAATGACATTTTCCTTAATTAATTTGCAACTGTGCCTAAAACATGGGAAAATGCAAAGAAACTTAATATTAACTTTCCAAGTTAAATTTTACTTTAAAATGTTCAACGATATTACATAAAATTATAAATAATATTTTCAGATGTACCCAGCATTCTCTAATAGAAGTGTTTAGAAGTTTTAAAGCAATAAAATGAAACTAACATGTATGTAGTCATGTCTGAACATGAAAATCTTATCTTGTCTCTCCACAGAAACCAGGAAAGTGGTGTGCTATGCATGTCCATATAGCCTGGCAAATTTACCACCACCAACAGAAAGTAAAGGTAAGATTTGCATACATTACCAGATTTGAATTTTACTGCACCCTCCAATCAGGATCAACATGACATGTGGAAAGAAATATTATTTGCGGCTGTCTTTTTTTTCCTCTTCGTTAACTCTAGTGTTGTCACGGTACCAAAATGTCGGTACCAATACCAGTGAAAGTCCACGGTTCTCGGTACCAAAGCAAAACAAAAACATACTAATTAAAAAACACATTATTTTTATTAATAAAGTCAAACAAAAATAAAATGTACAAAAATCAATGCCATTCTTTATACCTATTTAAAATTGTTTCAAGTTTTTCCACAAGTAATAAAAGTGTAAACATAAAATAAAAGTAAACAGGTTTCACCCAAAAGTTTTTGTCATATTTCTGCTGCCACTGAAAAACAACTGTAAACTGTTGTCTGTTTTAGGGTTTGCTTCATGACCTTCCTTAGCCTGCAGCTGTAAAAGGAAAATATAATATACTTCAGTAAAGCAATGGGCTGAGTCTGACCAAATGCAACATTAGGTCCAATGACACCAGCTAAATTATAACTTTTCAGTAAATAACAAACCTCAGCTTTTATAATAAATTTAGATAAGATTACATATATTTTAAGTCAAGTGTATATCAAATAGATGGAAACTGTAGTATTAAAAACACTTTACAAAAAGATTCCGTTTGTTAGATAACATGACCTATCAATAAACAATAGTTAAATAGCAATTATTCTTCTTAGGGTTCATTTCAAAATGTATTAATACATAAAATCAGTTCAATCTGTTAAAATTATTTAATGCACAATGAACAAACATGAATGATCAAGTGTTTGTATAAAATAATATTGTTCACTCACTGTAAGTTGATGTTAGATAGTCTATACAGGAGATAAAATTTGACTGTACTTTCATTTAATCCAAACTGTGTAAATATTTAGTTATCTATACATGCTAGAGTTATCCAGCCAAGAATAACAACTAACCAACTAGCTAAAAAAAAAAAAACCCAGAACTGCTTTTCTGACAGACTGATATGACATAAACACTGTTAACCATTTGTACATTCTCTAACACGCATATTTTAGATTCACAATTCATTTAAAAGCCTCTGGTGTGTAAAAAATAGTAAATACCATCATGTCCTCCTGTTTTTTTACCCCAATAAAAGTTATAAATACCATCGAAAGACCGTAAGTTCCCCTCAGACATACATTCATATAAACTCCTACCCCTAATTGAATCGCGATTTAGCATCTCAACCAATTTGAATCATCACATTTAAATCGATTTTCAACCGGCTCACGGATAATCGTTACATCCCTAGTCAGCACTGATATTAGTGATTTTCTGTTTCTTAATACATTGGATTAGTCCCCATTTCTTGATACTCATTACACGCCACCTATACTGCAAGCGAATGAAGTAATAAAACTTAAATGCTTCCGTTATAATTAGCAATCTATGCTGTGAGCTGCTTTGTTGATAGAAACATTCTAGTGTAATCCTGTTGTTTGTCCTGTATAATGTACTGTGTTTTCACTCCTGTCAAGGATGTATTGTCTAGGCAGTTGTTGCAGCTAGACCTGGGGACCGTACCGTTTTCATTTTTTAAGTACCGACTTGGTACCGAAGTACCGGGTCTTTTGACAACACTAGTTAACTCTGATCTTCAGAATAGAATACAGCCTTTTTTTATTTTTGAGGTACTTTTAGAGGGGTATCACATTTATTCTCTCTTGTGCCTGGCCTTCTCCAGCAGCAGATGCAGGTTGACCCACACAAGTTGGACTTTGGCCTCAAGCCGGAGTTCTTAAGTCGACCCCCAGGCCCCACCTTTTTTGGAGCTATCCATCACCCTCATGACTTGGCGCGACCTGCATCGCTTTTCTCAGCAGCAGGTGAGTAGATGACCCAAATCTTAGCAGAGTTGAGAGAGATCGCTGTCACTACTCGGATCAAAAGCAGAGCTTCCAATGACTTTGGGTTAGTCAGCACTAGGGATGTAACGATTCACTCTACTCACGATTCGATTCACGATTTATGGAAACTCTGGGTTTTCCGTTTCAGAATGGGAGGTTTGTCAAACCAGAGAAAGCAGGGTAAGTCATGCCCGTTTCTGAAAGAGAGGTAACTTATACTCAGAGTCAGTTACCGTGGTAACTTACTCTATGAACCTAACCTGGTCGGGAGCAGGTTTTCTTCGGTAAACCCAGAGTTTCTTACGGTCTCCTCCCCCTTTTTAATGTGTAAGCAATGTTTAAATACCTCATTCATTCATTCACGCTGCAAAAATGCTTTTCTTACTGGGTATTTCTGTCTCATTTCAAGTACAAATATCTAAAAATTCTTAAATCACAATGTATTTTCTATAGGCTATAAGAAAAATTATATAGCCTAAGATGTTTATTCTTGTTTCCTGGGGGGAAACAAGTGCATTTTACTTAAAACAAGTAAAATTATCCGCCATGGAGTAAGAAAAATCATCTTAATGCAAACTTAAACAAGATTATTTTTTGTTTCCCCCACCTCCCCCCGTCAAACACCAGACACCGTCAAAGTGACAAAAATGGTATGTCCTTTTATACTGTAATGAGGAGGCTGTATTAATTCATAGGGAGTTAAAATTTTTTGTGCCATATCCACATGCATATTTATTTGGTAGTTTTCTCTATCGGGGATGCAGAGCACATTAGTAAAGCCGCTGTATGCAGAGCCGTAACGAAGGTGTGCCTCGCTGACTTCCAATTGATAACATCTTGTTTTTACTGTTGGATTTTAGTATTCTTCCAATACTTGGTATTATGGCTATCTCCTCTTCATCATTGTGTCAGCCTGCTTGCTGTTGACTGAGTAGAAGTCAAATGTTAATTTCATTACTCTAATTAAGAAATGTAACAGGTTGGATTAGAGAATCTTTAATTATGTGAAAAGATTAGACTACGTGAAAAGATTAGAGTACATGAAAAAAGCAGCTGCACATTGAAATAGACACTGAATTAAATTTATTTAATATATCAAATGTTTGTAAAGTCATGTAGCCTACACCCATGAAAATTTTATGCTTAAAGCTTTACCTGATTGAATTGTTTTTATACTTCATTTTTAGCTGCTGTCACGTTCTTCTTTTTTCGCCAATGGGATACCATGAAAATTAATATTAGTTCAATAACTTACCGTTCTGCCAGTTTTCACCTCTGTTATTATAACAGTGATTAAGAATTAAACTTATGCATTGACTCAAAGTATGCGGACGTCTTTTTGTCGGTGCTATTGCCATGGTGAATCATAATTTCGGAGCTCCATTGATCATGACTTCTCATAGTCGTGGTGCACGCACTAAACTCAGAGTTAACCTACTCAGAGTTGACTGAACTAACACAATTCAGCTGTTCTGAAACCGAAAACTCAGTTTCCCATCTCAGGGTAAGTCAACTCCGAGTTCAAGTTTTAACTCAGAGTTGGTTGAACCTCCTTATTGAAACGGGCCCCAGGAGTTCCCAATACATTAACACACCAAACCCCCCACAACAAACAAACCTGCTTTGCATTGGAATATCCCTAAAGAAGGCGGAAAACCCTTGAAGTCCACTCACATACAGTCAAATGGAGGCCACCCCTCAACTGAGCATGTCAGATAAGAGAGGCATACAAAATGTGCAGAGCGGGGAGGCGCCAGGACTGGAATTGGGAACCTTTGAGCTAGACCCTTAGACTTGCTTTAATAAGATCGGAAGAAATTTCATCATTATCTGTCTTGGTTTCAGGGTCCACGCATCCCTCGGCTGCACCTTTTGGACACCCTCCACATCATCCTAGCAACTTTCTTACCCCAGCACCCCACTTAGGTAAGTTGACAAGACTCTTACATATGCACATTCACACTCCTCCACTAGGTGTCACTGTGCAATCAACAACTGCTAATTCTTGACTGAAGTGTGTGTATTGTAAGGCATGGGGAGGGCCAATGTCCTGCAGAGTTTAGCTCCATTTTGCCCCAACACACTTGCCTGGAAGTCTATAGTAATCCTGCAGACCTTGATTAGCTGGTTCAGGTGTGTTTAATTAGGATTGAAGCTAAACTCTACTGGATATTGGCCCTCCAAGAGAAGGATTGGACAACCCTGGATTAAGGGTTACTGAACACGTCTCTGAAAGTCAGTTGATATTAGGGATCCAACAATAAAATTAGCCCACTGTTCAATACATGTCTCGGTTTTTTTTAACCACGGTTTTTGGTTCGGTTCAGTTCAGTTTAGTTCTGATGGCATGGCACATCAGTTTTTTTTATTTTTTATTCTAGGCTTAGGAGACAGGAGCAGTAAGAGGTTAAGGAGGCTTTATTTTATAAAATTCCACTTGCAGACAATCCTATTATACTGTATAAAATAAATAGACTAGTAGAAATGCACTGATATTAATTTTTCATGGCCAATTCCAATTGCCAATTTTTCTTCTTTTTTTTAAGCAAGAGTCAAGAAAGAATGAAAATAGGAGTACATGAACAAGATGCTTATTTGCTCTGTTACAAGCTATCTGTAAAAATAAAAAAATAAAATAAAATTAGAGGCAACCATTCCATTTTAATCACAGTCCAAACAAAGATGCTGCACACATGTAGCATGAGCAGTTTTTGATTTCAATTGGATTAAATCGTTTCAAAATTTGAAGCAAAACAGAATGGTCTGACTTAAGCTTTGTGAAACTATGCTAAATAAGAACTGAACGAAACAAAAACAGCAGACTGAATGAGAATGCAAATTTACTCTCTGACAGCAGGTGGCACTTACCCAACAGCAGCAATAGCGTTTCCATGGTTACTGCTGTAAACAAAGCAGCCGCAGCGCTTATAAACACTACTTTAAAATGCATTATATGGAGGTAAGATGAAAAGAAAATACCATCTAAACTTTTCTGAAGACAGTCAGTTCCCCTCAGAAATACATTTATATAAACCTCCACTATTTAGGATTTTCTTCCAATATTTTGCGCATCTTGAACCGTGAGCTTGCTCTGTCGGCTACAGTTTTCTCCTCATTGCATCCATCTTCAGCATCTCTGGCCTCTGTTAACGGTCGTTTACAGACCTCTTAATATTTCCAAACAAATTACATTTTGGGAAATGATCACAATTAGGGATGGGTATCGTTAAGGTTTTAACGGTATTACTACTCTTACCGATACTGCTTATCGATTCGGTACTTTAACGGTATTCTTATCGGTACTTTTTGTTTTTTATATATATATATACACTGTGTGCACAATTATTAGGCAAGTTGTATTTTTGAGGATTAATTTAGTTATTGTACAACTACAGTGCTCTTGGTCAATCCAAAATGTTAACAAACCCTCAAACCTGAACATTTAAGTAGTAAAAGTGAAGTTTTGGCGTTCTTAAGAGAATATCTACATGTACACCGTTATTAGGCAACTATTAGTGTGCAGAATTATTATGCAACTAAATGAAAAGCAAAGATCTCACTTGTTTATTTTCACCTGTTAAAGTGAGAATAATAAACAAACTCAAATTTACAAATAAACATTTCTGAAATTTCAAAAAGAAAACCTCAGTGACCAATATAGCCACCCTTCTTTTCGATAACAGTCACAAGCCTTCCATTCACGGAGTCAGTCAGTTTCTTGATCTGGTCAGAATCAACTTTGTGTGCAGCCGCAACCACAGCCTCCCAGACACTGTTCAGAGAGGTGTACTGTTTACCTTCACTGTAAATTTCCTGCTTAAGAAGGGCCCAAAAGTTCTCAATAGGGTTTAAGTCAGGTGAAGAAGGGGGCCATGTCATTAGTTTTTCATCTTTAAGGCCTTTACTGGCCAGCCACGCAGTGGAGTACTTTGATGCATGTGATGGAGCGTTGTCTTGCATAAAAATCAAAGTCTTCTTGAAAGATGCAGACTTTTTCCTGTACCACTGCTTGAAGAAAGTGTCTTCTAAAAATTGGCAGTAGGTCTGAGAGTTGATTTTGAGTCCATTTTCAACCCGAAAAGGTCCAACTAGCTCATCTTTAATAATACCTGCCCATACCAGTACCCCACCTCCACCTTGCTGGCGTCTGAGTCGAAGTGGAGCTCTGTGTCCGTTACTGATCCAACCACGGGCCCATCCATCTGGTCCGTCAAGAGTCACTCTCATCTCATCGGTCCACAAAACCTTTGAAAAATCTGTCTTCAGATATTTCTTGGCCCATTCTTGACGTTTCAACTTATGTGTCTTGTTCAGAGGTGGTCGGGTTTCAGCCTTTCTTACCTTGGCCATGTCTCTGAGAACTGAACACCTCCTACTTCTTGACACTCCAGGTAGGTTGCAGTTGTGGAATATGGCAGCACTGGAGGATAATGGGTTCCTGGTAGCTTCATGTTTGATTCTTCTCAAATCTTTGGCGGTTAATTTGCGTCTTTTCTTCTCGACACGTTTCTTGCGACCCTGTTGACTATTTGCTACAAAACGTTTGATGGTTCTGTGATCACGCCCCAATATCTTAGATATTTCAAGAGTGCTGCATCCCTGTGAAAGACTTTTTACAATTTTTGACTTTTCAGAGTCAGTTAAATCTCTTTTTTGGCCCATTTTTCCTGAGGAGAAGAATCTGCCTAATAATTATGCACACCTTGATATAGGGTGTTGATCTCCTTAGGCCACACCCTCCCTCGTTACACAAATACACATCACCTGATATGCATTAAATCCAATAAGCATTCAAGTTTATACAGCTTGGACTTGGAAATTATGGATAAAATGATGATATGGTCAAAATCATCACTTGCCTAATAATTGTGCACACAGTGTAGTAGGATTGGCTGCGGTCACAGATAATTTGTCGGTTGATATATCTGTCATAATGACGTGGGTGTCCACGAAGAGGTTAAAGGGTACAGCCGCTGTTCAGTGCAGTTAATGTGGCTGACGTACAGGGCCATCAGATCCATTACGTAGACAGAATAGACGGAGAGGAGAGGATAGCTTGAGTTCAAGTGTGACTCATTTAATGTGAATAATTAACTGGTACTTTTAATTAGTGCAATGGAAAGTTAGTTAATAGTGTGTCATTTTCTCCACTGAAACTGATGTTTCAAATCTCGTGCCTGACTGTTTAGTGGATTTTTTCTTTGTTTGTTTTGATTTTTCAAATTCATTGTTTGAGAGAATTTTCTTTTAAGCATCAACTTTGTTTCATATGTTTCTAATAAATAGTATATATATATATATATATATATATATTTTTATTTTTTTAT